TGTCTTGCACCACTGGAAACCAGCATTGGAATGAGAATAGGAGGCTCAGAAAACACTGGTTCCCAGTCTCTCCTCAATTACGAAACATGCGTCCTGGTAAGGGTGAGCGCGAACCCCCTGCAGTAAGCGGGCACTGTCCCCAGAGAAGTGTCTCAGCACCCAGCAGGCGCCAGTTCTGTCAAACAACACCGTGCACCTTCGGGACGGAGCTGTGGAAACATGGCATCCCTGTCGCGGGCACAGACTGATGGGGCCTCGGGATTTAGTCCTAACTCTGCTTCTTCTCCTTCATCAGGGGCGCTGATAACACTTTTCTAGTTGAGCTTGAAGAAGATTAAATGAGAGGAGGCACACAACGGACAGAGCCCAGACAAACGCACAGACACGAGACCTCCTTGCAGTTGTGTTAAGTAGGAGAGGGGCTAGAAGAATTCCCTGAGGAACAACTTCCTCAGGTGTCTTCACAGGACCAGAGAGTCCTCAGCGTGGGAGCAGCGTGCCTGCATGTCGCCTGTAGTGAAAACCCCCCGCGATCCCTGGGAGGTGGGTAGAGGACCTCGCACCTCGCAGGCAGAAACTCACCTGGGTGCTCCAAGGAGCCTGTGCAGCCTCCAGCACTGGCCAGGTCCCCACCCTCCCCTCCGTGGGAGGCGGAGTCCAGGCCTTGGGACTGGATGAGTTGCAGCAGGTGTGGGGACCAGGTGTGGGGAGCATGTTGAGCAGGCAGGGGCTCCCCCAGGAAGTACGAGGGGAGGGGAAATGTTCACAGAGCTTGGGGAAGGAAGGGAGCCCCTGCTGAGGCTGTGAGCCATGTCCCAGAGATAGAAGAGTGGAGCTCGTGGGGCAGCATCAGGTCATGGGGTGAGGCCAGGACAGGTTTCCAGCCACTTCAGGAGACCCCAGGGGTGGGTGAGGCAGAGAGCGCCTCGCTCAACAGAGAGGATCTGTGAGGCTCAGACATCCCCGCAGAAGACCGGTTCTGAGTTTCAGAAATTTTAAACATTTGCAGTCACACACAAAGAAGGGGACAGACCAGACCTTTAAGGGAAAGTCGGGCCGCCGTCACGCGTGGGCTGTGGGTGATGAAGCAGGAACTATCTGTGTGTCAGAAGACTAAACGGGGTCTAATGGGGACCCCAACAATTCCTTTCCAAGTCCAACCCCACAGAGCTTCAGTCTCCTTTCAGATTCGGCCCAAGAGAGGCTGAAGGGAAGGTAGGAGAGCGGGAAAAAGAGTCAAGTCTATCATGCCCAGGGGCAAATGCCCTGTAAGGAATGAGGTCCTTATGTGTGCCTAACACGGACCAAGACACTTAACAAAACAGAGCTTTCTAAAAGCTCCTGCTAAACAGAGAGAGACAGAGACAGGGACAGAGATAGATAGATAGAGAGAGAGAGAAAGAGAGAGAGAGAGAGAGAGCGAGCCAACAAGACAGCCCGTGTCCCTAGACTAGCCCGAGGGCCTTTACTAAGCACACCACCATCTGCACACAGGATTGTGCAAATGGTTGTTAACTTGAAATTATGTGGGAAGTTTGTGTCCACGTCTCCACTGAAGTGGGTATGTGACAGGTACTCACCATAATGTCCCAATTTGGCAAAAAAAAAAAAAAAAAAAAACCTCTTGAGAGTAAAAAAAAGCCACTTTCACAGTGTGAATGAAAAGTAACTTCACTACTCCTGATGCAGACTGGCAGCCCAGGGAGGACCCCGGCCTTCTCCCGCTGAGTGCCTGGGTGCGGAGAGCTGGTAGGTGCAGTGGTCAGCCCTCCCCTCCCATCCGCGGAGAGGCAGGGGTGTGCCCTGCCCACGACGAGGGGCCTGGCTGACCCTCTCCTGCCCTGGTCCCCTCACCAGTCCTCCTCACGGCCAGCCGTTGCCGTGACAGCTGCAGAGCAGGGCTCAGGCTCTCCTGACCGCTGGTGATGTGCACGTCACCCAGTGCCCGCTATGCCCGCTCCATTGCCATCAGTGTCCTCAGTGTTTCTTTGCTAGTGGACCTGGAATCCTGCACTGGGTGTGAAGTGCATCGGTTCCTGTGTCGCACACACCCTTCCTAACCCCGGTGCCCCTCTGCTCCTCAGGTGGCCCCTCTGCTGGCCAACATGGAAGAAGACCTGGTGTCCCATCGCACGCCCCTGTCTGCCTCCTTCACATCTGGAGTGTCCTATCACAGAGTCGGAGGCGTCCCACTGGAGGTCAGCAGGGATCTGGAGAAGGCCGTGAAGGAAGGGCAGCTGCTGGAAGTGATCGCCATAGCCAGGAAGGTGGTGGAGATGGCATCCAGGGCCACGGTGAGCCTTGCCGTGACGGGGGACTCCGGCAATGGTATGTCATCCTTCGTCAACGCCCTGCGAGGGATCGGACATGAGGATGCAGCCTCGGCTCCCACCGGGGTGGTGAGGACCACCCTGACCCCGGCCAGGTACACCTCCCCCAGCTTCCCCGATGTGTTCTTGTGGGACCTCCCGGGCATGGGGGCTTCAGACCAGAGCCTCGACCACTACCTGAGAGAGCTGCAGAACAGCCAGTACGACCTCTTCCTCCTCATCGCGTCCGAGCAGTTCAGCCTGCACCACGTGAGGCTGGCCAAGACCATCCAGGGCATGGGGAAGAGGTTCTACGTCATCTGGACCAAGGTGGACAGGGACCTCAGCACGACCCCCCCTCTCCCGGGGCCTCCTCCTGCGCAACATCCAGGAGAATATCCTGGAGACTCTCCAGAAGGAAGGGGTGCACAAACCCCCCATCTTCCTGGTATCCAGCCTCGACCCCGATTTGCATGACTTCCCAGATCTAAGGAAGAAGCTGAGGATCGACATCTTCAACATCCGGTGCAGTGGACCCTTGGAGGCCCTGTCCTGTGCGTGTAAGGAGACCATTAACGAGAAAGTGGCCTCGCTGAAGACCAGAGTTCTGCAAAACTGTCCAGAGGACACCCTTGGCAGCTGTGGTGCCGACGACCAGGAGCAGTATCTGCGGGTCTACCGGGGGTGCTTTGGCATAGACGACGACTCCCTCCTGCAGGTGGCCTGGAGCACCGGGAGGGTGGTGTCAGAGTACAGGACCCTCCTGAGGTCCCAGGATCTGTGTGGTCTCCGCAGAGCAGACTGTAGACTGCGCCTGGCCACCTGCTCAGTGATGAAGATGCTGCTCCGCCTGCTCCGCTGGGTCCCGTGGCTCGGTCCCCGTGCTGTCCGCTGGTTTGCACGCAAGACACACAGGCGGATGCTTCACTTGGTCACCCAGGACACCAAGGGCATCCTGAAGAAAATCCTGGAGGACTCCACATGTCCCGCCTGAACACAGCACGGGAGCAGATGGCAACCTCCTTTGCCCTGTGGAAGTTAGCCCCCCATCCTTTTACCCACTGGAAGTCAAGAAATGTAAATGACTTTCTATTCATAAGGAATATAAGGCTATGCAAATTTTTGAAAGCAATTTTTTAAAAAATCGTTCATTTTCATAGTCTCAACTTTAATGCCTTGTTCCTTTGAGGAAAACAGTTTTTATTGAAATCAACCGAGTTTCCTGATTTCAGTAGTAAGAAATTTTGCTTTCAGTGGTAGCTGCCATGTGGCTGGTCACCAGCCTGTCGTTCCCCCTGTAAATCACAGTAAATTCTTCTCCCTTGAAACTCCTGTGTTCTTTCTCTCTTTCCTGTCACTGTGCAAACTTACTGAATGCTGGTGTGGCACAGAGGGGCTCTCGTGGGTTTAGGAGAGCCCAGGTCCAGTCAACACTGTCCTTTGATCCCTGCTCGGTGTTGGGGACCAGATTCCAGGTGGGTCCTAGCACCCCAGGTGATTACCTGTGCACGAGGCCCACAGGTGAGAGACGCCAGGAAACCCCCTAGGGAACGTGTCATGTCCAGCTCAACTGCAGCAAGGTCCAGCCAGGCAGTGTTTGGGCCTGTTTTCTGGTGTTATAATGAAATACCTCACTGAGCATGGTGGTGCACACCTATGATCCTAGCCCTCAGGGGGCTGAGACAGGAGAGCCACTGTGAGTTCAAGGCCAGCCTGGGCTACACAGCAAGACCTTATCTCAAGACAAATCAAAACACAAAACACCTGAAGTGGGTTACAGACGTGGAAACGGTGTCTCTTGACCCACTGTGTTGGAATCTGCTGTTGAGTAGAGGCAGCATCCGTTTTGTCTCTGGTGAGAGCTTTACTACAAAACATGTGGGAGAGAGCAACAGCCAGGAGGCCTGAGGGTTCCGGATCAGAGAACGGATTTGTCACAACCCCCTCTCCCGGACCTGACTGGGTACCAGACCTTGTCACAGATCACTGCTCAAAGCTTCTGCCACCTCAGTGTCACCAGCACGTGAGCCCTGGCACAGTGTAAACACAGGAGCAGATACACGCCAGGGTAGCCTCTCAGCGGGGTGGCAGTGGGTTCAGGGAGGAGGATGAGGCTGTGGCCTCAGGAGGAGGAGCTCACCCCCTGCGGCTGCAGCTGGCAGGCACTGAGAGAAGCCTCAGTCCCCTCTGCTGCCTGTCAATCTCTGAGGGAGTCTCTGGTCCCTAACTCTTCTGCGACTTGGAATAACTGGTAATCCTAGTGCTAATGTATGCTAAAGGTGTGTGTTGGTCACTTTCTCCTTGCTGGGACAAAATACCCGACACTCAGAGTGAAAGGAGGAGAGGTTTATCTAGCTCATGGCTCTGTAGAGGTTTTGGTCCACATCAGTTGGCTCCAAGGCAGGGTGGCGTCACAGAGGAGAAACAGTTCACCAGGCAGAAGACAGCAGAAGCAATAAGGGAAAGAAACAAACCTCTTCCTGGCCCTTAGGCTGTGTGCGGGCTGACAGCCTAGGGTGGGTGTGGCACTCACACCCTTAATCCCAGCTCTGACCATGAATCAAGCACAAACTGGATTCAGCTGACCCTGCCCGCGGGTCAGTGCAGATCTGCAGGGCAGTTTCCTGGAGAAGGAACCGGGATTAACACAGACAGGGCCCGAGACAGAGAGACGGAGACAAGTCGAGGGAGTCCAATCAAGTCTCATTTATTAATAAAGTGGTCGCTGCTTTTATAGGGCAAGGGTGGGCCGATGGGACAAGAAGAGGCTATGGGGTGATCTCTGAAGGGTCATCGTCACGTCCCTGTATGTGACATAAGTAGGAGAGGATTATGGTTAATGTAGGCAGGCGCACTATGTGCCCATAGGAGGGAGAGGTGGAGAAACAGGAGCGGGGCTGTCGCACCGCTCCCTACATCTCCTCCCTTTCTATATTTTTTAATCAGGAGTATGGCAGGCTCTGTGAGGACAGCATCTCTCTTAGGTCAAGGACCTCATTACATGAACCCAACCGGGCCTTACCCGTCATGGGCTTGCAGGGCAGCAGTTGGTCCTGTGCCTGTGTTAGGTGGCTGGTGGTGTAATATGTATGTCCTAGTTGCCCGTCTCTGGCTGCCTGTCCATTGCCTTGGGGCAGTTAGGCCACATCATCATACGGGCCACTTGTTCCCTGTAGGTTTCTTAATTTGCCATCTCTAGCTAGTGATAGTATAGCTCAAAGGGCTTTGTCATAAACGCCTCTATCTGGTTATGAATGATCGCCATAATCCTCTGAAAAATACAAGGACCCACAGGGAGGAGAAGCAACAGGGCAGCTAGGGGCCCCAGGAGGGGCGCTAGGTAGGGGAAGAGCGCTCCCCAGAGCATGGAGAAGGGGTTAGAGGCCATTTGTGATGGGAGGTCCAAATCCACCATTGGTCAAGGGTGGTCCAAGTAGGATCTCAAGAAGGCACCAAGTAATCCATCGGTTTGGCATTTTCTGTAAGGAAGCACAAGAAGTTGCCTCAGGGTATGTGTTCACTCCTGGGCATTTTGGGGGTTATTATTATTTGGCTCATTAATTTGCCTAACAAGGCATTTGGGGAGCCATGTAGCCTCTTTGTCTTGGCAGGAGTATATGCACACTGAACCGCGTCCCCATATGAGAACGGGGTCAAGGCCCTACCATAAGTTAGTCAGGGGGTCTCTCCATAGTACAGAAGCAAATTGCTTTTGTGTTTCCGTATGCCAAAAATGCATGGCTATTGAGTGTCCAGAAGCATCAAAATTTTAAAAATTAAGGGTGAATAAGGCATGAGATAGAATATTTTTAGGTGTCCCCCTCTTTATGCACATTAAATACACACTGCATATTATAGACCTAGTCAAACCACCACACGATGATGAAGGCTCCTCAGGTTTTGAAGATCTGACATTGGGGAAGACAGTAACAAACAACGTGGTATCTCTCATTTTTTTCTCAGCAGCTGTCTCCATCCTTATATATGCTGAAATTAAACTCAAAAGACCAGAACAATATCACTCTGATCAGTTAAATGAGTCAAAGTAATTCACATTGGAATCTCTATCCCTGGAGTCTTTTTTGTAAAATGACCAGTCTCTCTACAGGTAAAACTGTTTTGTTTATGCTTTTGAGATAAGAACTGTTTAACTGTAAACCCTTGCAAGGCAGCAGCCATAGCAAAGCCTTGCTGACAAGCAGTTCCAATGTCACAGCAAAGGTGTATATATCCTATTAGGTCTGTTTTATTTTTATGAGGTCTGATAGTGGCCTGGCAGGCGGTGTTGGCATTTTCGAAAGCTAGCTGTTTAATAAAATCAGTGCCTGCAGAGCGTGGCCAAAGATTCTGTTAGCAGCAGTAATCAAACGATCAACAAATTCTGAAAAGGGTTCATCTGGGCCTTGCTTAATGCTAGTGAGAGAGGAGCTCATATTATCTTTTGCAGGCATCTTTCTGTATGCTCGAGTAGCTGCTGTTTGAATTTGAGTGAAAAGTGCTGGATTAAACTCCTTTTGAGCTTCTCTACATGCATAGGCATCTTCCACTATTAACATATTAAGGTCCTACCCATTGCTGGCTTGAGTATTGTGCCTGGCAGTCTCTTTGCAATTTTTTGTATATTCTGATTTTCACAAAAGATTATCCCCACCCGATAAAGTCACTCAGGCCAATCTTTGCCAATCTGTAGGTGTGAGCCAGCCGTCAGCCAGAGAATTTAAAACAGCAAGAGTGAAAGCAGCTGTAGGGCCATATTGGGCAACTGCTATCTTTAATTCTTTTAAAGCTGCCGCTGTGAATGGCCTATGGGTCCTAATGACTTGTGGAGCTAGCGGCACAGCGCCCACGCCGTCTTGCAGCTGTGTGGTGCCATCTTGGGGAGGTACCTTTGTTTCCATCACCGGAAACACCATTTCGGGGAGGGGCCCACCCTGATGTGGCGGAAGTGAGGCAAGCGCCATTTTAGATAGAGAGTTGTGGCGGGCCTCGGGTGGTAGGGGCTCGGATGGCAGCGGGCCGCCTCTTGGGGCTTTAACATATCATTTGACTCATCAGAGGGGCAAGAAGGTTTAGATTCGTCTCCTGAAGGGAGCGATGTTGGCGAAGCGGAAGTGCGTAAAGGCTTCACCTTGGGTGATTGTTTTCTCAGTTTGAGGGTCTCGGCAGCGCTGTGTGAGTAGCTCTGAGATTAGGTTCCAGCAGAAAAGGCCGTACTCTTTCCCATCTTTTGCATCAATAGAGCCCTCTAAAGGAAACCAAGGGCAAACCTTATGAATAAATTGAAAGTACTGTAATAAATCTTTTTCTTTAGCCTTTCTCCCTCTTGTCTTTAATGCTTTACTTAAACCTGATTATGATCGGCCTGACCCATGCGGGAAAAAAGGGGAAAGGATGGCCGTCCACTTACCGTGACTCGAGCGGCGCGGCAGGCTCCCCAGCAGCGTTGGTCACAAAACTCTTAGTTCCCTTCTTACGCTCGCGTCTCAGGACGGCTCCCTCGCTGAGCCCTTCGTGCCAGGAGCCCCATGACGGGCGCCACTTGACCCGGCCTGCAGGTCAATCCAGATCTGCGGGGCAGTTTCCTGGAGAAGGAACGGGGATTAACACAGACAGGGCCCGAGACAGAGAGACACAGACAAGTCGAGGGAGTCCGATCAAGTCTCATTTCTTAATAAAGTGGTCGCTGCTTTTATAGGGCAGGGGGCGGGCCGATGGGACAGGAAGAGGCTATGGGGTGATCTCTGATGGGTCATCGTCACGTCCCTGTACGTGACGTAAGTAGGAGAGGATTATGGTTAATGTAGGCAGGCGTACTATGTGCCCATAGGAGGGAGAGGTGGGGAGACAGCAGCAGGACAGTCACACTGCTCCCTACATTCAGCTACCTCTGAAAAGCCTGCCCCCCATGACCACATGAGGCTTTGGGGGAGACATCCAGACACAAGATATAACAAGGTGCCAACCCTGCGACGTCCATTCCAGCAGCTCAGGGCCTGGGTACAGTTCCTGCTCTGCTGACCAACCTCTGTGGCTTTTCTGCAGCAGTGAGGATTGAACCCCGCCAGGTGCCAGTAACCCAGCTACAGCCCCATCCCGAGAATTATCTTAATTTTTTTCATTGTTTTAACTTTCAAAGTGTTTTGGACAGTCTGCGTGTTTGCTTCCTCTCTCCCTCTCTTTTCCTCCCTTTTTGCTTTCCATCCCTTGTATCTTCCCTTCCTTCCCCTTGTCTATTTTATTGTCTTTTTTTAAAAAAATCTGTCCCGCAATCCCTGCACACCTCTGCCTCTGCTCCATTCAGAGGGCAGCCTGTGGTCTCCAGCCAGTTCTCCAAACCACCCATCCCAGGGCCATCAGTGTGATTACCATCTGTTCAGTTACTTCTCTTGTGCTGAGACAAAATACCCAGCACCTCCAAGTTAAGGGAGAAAAGGTTTCTTTGGCTCCCAGTGTGCAAAGGCTTCAGTCCACGGCCACCAGCTCCCAGGCAGGGTGGCGCAGCAGAGGGGCCTCACAGAGGAGAATCTGCCATGGCAGGCAGGCAGGGGAGAGCACATTCACCCTCCTTCTGTCCCCTCCATGTCATGCAGGCTCCCAGCGTGCAGCACTCACACTCTAACCCTAACTGGAACTAAGCAGAACCAATCCGTGGACTGAGGTAGTAATCATACCTCCCTGATCCCAGCAGCACACACACTCTGGACCCAGCCACCTCTGGAAAGCCCCACCTGTGACTGTGTGAGGCTTTGAGGGGTCACAGCCACGACACCAACATGTGCCTCTGGGCCTATAAAGATCTGTCCCTAAATTCTAAGTTTCACAGGTGTTTTGGGTTATTTTGTGTACTTCTATTCTGGGTGACGGTGACCGTTTTTGTCTTGTTTGGCTTGCTAAGGCCCTAGTGTTTGAGCCTGCAGAGCGCTAATCTGCATCCTCAGGCCTGGGCTGGCCTTGAGCTCCCTTCCTGCCTCAGTATCCACATTGCTCAAATCAGAAGCATAGACACTGGGCCTGGCTAATCCTTTTTATTTTTAAACAACCAATTAAACTGATTTAGTAAAATAGTTGACTCACATATCAGCAAAGGTGATTTCAACCTTGACTGTTGGCTAAATAGTGCAGAAATGATCTGCTTGACCAATTTTGGAAAAGTGAGTTTATCAGTCCCTTGTAGATTCTCACCTGGACACAATCCCACGTCCTACGAGCTTCACCACAGGGTGTTTTCCATGGTGGCACAGTAACTGGGCCGATCACTTTGAGATTTTTTTTCCCATGTGAGACCTTGTCTTGAAATAAAAAATAAAAAAGGCCTGGGGGTATAGCTCATATACAAAGACCCTGGACTCAACCTTTGTACTGCCAAAAAGAAAAAGAACAAGAGAAAGAGAAAGAGAGAGAGAGAAAGAAAGAGAGAGAGAGAAAGAGAGAGAGAGAGAGAGAGAGAGAGAGAGAGAGAGAGAGAGAGAAAGAAAGAAAGAAAGAAAGAGTTCAGAACTTATTTCAGAGCCAGGGCTGTGGGGGTGTGGCTGGGTGGTGGGGCTCACTGGCCCAGGGGACCTCACCCACTCGTCGAAGAGCCCCACCTCCGCCCCGCGTGCGCTTTGCTCCCGCCTGTCCACAGTGTGGGTTTTGCAACTGGAGCTGGCTGCTGAGCTGGCAGAATTTCCTAGGTCTTCTCGGGACGCTGACTTTAGGGATCCGGGGCGATTTTCCCGGAGCTGGAGGCAACCCGGACCCGGACCGAGCCCACGGCTCTATCCCGCGTGCAGCCAAGGGGCTGGCGAAGAGCGCGTGGGAAAGGGTCGGCCTGTCTGGGCAGGCCGAATGGCCAGGCGTTGCCAGGCGACCGCGCTCCCCGTTATTTTCCTCCTGCTCTCAGGAGGGGGCGCCCGCGAGCTGTCCGGCCCGCTCTGGCACAGTTGCGTTGCTGGGGCAACCAGTGTAGGGCAAAGGGTGCAGCCCAAGCCTGGCGGGTGCGTGCACTCTCCCGAGCTCAGTGACGCCGGCTTGGGGACTCTCAGGGACTGCATGAGTGCGTGCGCCCCGGCTCCACGGCTGTCCTGGTGGGTCCTGCTGTCAGCTGCCCCAGCCCGCATCCTTCAGGAAGCTCAGCTCGATCCCCAAGTGTAGTATCAGCAAGCACAGGAAAAGACATAAGACAGGACAGGGAATTTTGCCGTTCCCAGGGCATCTGGACGGGTCAGGGATTTAGCTCTGTAGTGTAAGCGCTTGCCTGGCAAGTGCAAGGTCATGAGTTCAATCCCCAATCCAAAAAAAAAAAAAAAAGGTTCCCAGGACATCTGGAGACACCTGAGAATTTACCCCGGACAATTCAGAGCTCTGCACACTGAGATGCAAGACTGCCGGAGAACTCGGACCACAGATGTTCACGGAGATCTTTCCAACAAACGTCTTGCCCTCTCCCCATCATTTTACAAGGGACACACTTCTGTTTGTTCGCGTCACAGTCTAATTGCACTCTCAGCCTGTACCTAGGCACAAAACATCCCAGGCTGTTTGCTTTTTCCAAGCCTGGTGGTCTCTGCAGGATTTTCCCCTGACCTTAGACCTGCTGGTAGCATTTCCTGTTTCTGCGATATTAGACCATGTGTGTCTGCGCGTGCGTGGATTTGACAGAGTGAAATTGCAAATGACTTAAGTCCTGTGTGGTTCCTTGGTCTCCAGGGCTCCTCCTGCTTGGAGTTGCTGATGTGTACAGCTAACGTGCACCCAGGGGCACTGGCCACAGGCGAGGTGTGTGCACACTGCGGAGTCTCTCAGCCACCAGGGAGCAGTGTTTCTGCCCCGCCAGCTTCAGACCCCACCACTCCTCCTTGACATCCCCACTGGAGCTGTCCACTTGCCTGCACTGGGCACTGGTGGCTGGGGAGGTCCCTGTCCCGCAGAAGGGACTCCTCAGAGGTTGCTGGGTGGCCTCCCGGAGTGCCACGTACCTCGGCATCACTGAGGGAGCAAATGTTCGATGCTGGTGTCCTGCTGACCAGACGCCCTGTGTGCGGCTGTGACAATCTGTGGAGGAGAGGGCACAGCCAGGCAGTTGGGAGGTTTGTGTGTGTGGCTCCCTGTCTACATGGAGTGGTTGTGTGGCAGTGGTCAGTGCTGAAGCTAGAGAAGGTCCAGCACAGGTCTTTCCTCCTCGTTCTGCAGCAGGGGTCGACCAGAAGGACTTGGTGGACTTTGCCTCTCTTCTCTTCCTAGTCCACTTGGTCCACCTCCCACCTCCCAGCCCTCTGTCACCAGCAATCACCCCAGGACTCCTAACTATCATGGTAGTGGTCTATAAATTCTAATTTTAATATAAAGTACTTGAAAAATTGATGTTTGTCCATTAACACACACACATTAGCACATGTGCAGTGAGAGGCGAGTCCCTTCCTGCAACCGCGTCGCCTGGTCCCGTGGGTCTTTCTGGACTTGGGAGGCCTACAGGTGAAGACACCGGTGGACAATGAGAGCCTACACACGGTGGGGGACAGGACCCCACACCGGCCGGCTCAGCTCCCCTTCCATCCTCCTCTGCTCAGCCTCCAGCTCTGTGCCTTTAAGGACTGCATACATCTGTCCCTCTTTGGGCTCAAGTGCCAGTCAGTATGCCTGGTGCCATGCCGTGCTCTGAGAACCTAATGTCTGTCTGACCTCCAGTGGTAACGCCAGGAGGCCGTCGCTTCTGGGCTTTGTTTTCACCCGTTCTGTGTCACTTTCCTCCCTTTCCTCCAGGATCTTGGGTCATGTCATGAAATTAGTAATTTATGTTATCTATTCTTTCTAATATAGGCATGTGCAGCTGTACACTTTCCTCACTGTGTTCCATAAGTTTGGGAATGCTATGTTGCCACTATCATTGGATTCTAGAAGCTTCTAGAATCATCTAGACCTCATCCTTCTGCTGCCCATTGGTGATTCGAGAGTGTGTTATACGGTTTCCAAGCATTTGCACAGTCTCTACGTTTCTCTTGCTATTACTGGTTTCTAGTTTCATTCCACTATGATACAGTAGTAGACAAGAGATTATCTCCATACTTTTCTATTTACTTAAGCATACTTTATGGCCTATGATATGCTCTATTTTGGAGAAAATCCCATGTCCTGCTGAGAAAAATGCGTATTCAGTTGTTGTTGAGTGGAACATTATAGATATTTGTTAAGTTCATTTGTTCACTGGTGTGGTTAAACCTTAATAGTTCTTTTTTAATTTTGTGGTCTGGCCGACCTATCTGTGAGTGAGACACTGAAACCCTGCTATGATATTTTTATGCACTTTTGTTTTATGAGATCAGAGTTGCTGACATTTGGGCTGACAATTGTTGTCTCTTCCTGTGAATTGTTTCCTTTCTCAGTACAGACTGACCTTCTCTGTCTATAATATGGTCAGCTTTGGCTTGAAATCTGCTTTATCTGGAGAGATGACAGCTCCATCCCTGGTTTTTCAGGCTCCTATTGCATAGAGCTTTGTTTCCCAACCGTTTCCTCCTGTCAGTCTGTGTGGTTTTTTGCGAGATTTGTCTCTTGCAGGAAACATAATCAAGGTTTGCTTTTGATCCAACCTGCCAATCTGTCTTTTGGTTGGGGAGTTAAGGCCATAGACATTGAATGTTATTATCAAAAGGTGTCTACCAAATCCCGTCGCTGCCGTATTTACCTGGTGATGATTCCTTTATTTTTTCCTTTTGTTTAACTGCCCTTCCAGTTAGATGCATTCTTTCCTGTGGGTTCGCTGGTGGTGCTGGCCTTGATCCCTCCCTCTGTAACAACCTAGAGTAATTTCCTGGGGTGCTGGCCTGGTGGTCATAAATTTCTTTGGATTCTCTTGGCTGTAGGAGACTTTTTATTTCTCTATCAATATTGCAGGATGAATCTGCAGGACACAGAAGTTTGAATTGGTGGTTGTTTTCTTTTAGGGATTAAAAGATTTTTCTCTGAGTCCTCCTGGGCTTTAACGTTTGTGTTGGGAAATCTTCTGTTATTCTGTTATTCAGGTTCGCCTTTCTAAGTTACTTGATGTTTTTCTTTAACAGCTGTTAGTATTTTCTCTTTCTGCCAAATTTCTAGGATTTTAATTATGATGGGTCACGGAGACAATATTTACTGCTTGTGGTATTTTGGGTTCTGTGTGCCTCATTTACCTGCACCTTGAATTCTTTCTCTGAATTTGGAAATTTTTCTTCTATAATTTCAGTGAATAAATTTTTTGTATCTTTGGTGTCATCTCCTAAGCTTAGGGTTTTAGGGGAAGCATCTAGCAGTCCAGCTTTTTTGTGGTGTCTTGTTTTTAGGTGATCCCTGAGTAAATAATCTACTGTATCAACCTTGTCTTCACGTCCTGGCAGACTTCACTCAGACTGATTATTCCTGCTGCTCATACTTTGAATTGAATTTTTATATCCCAGATTTCTACTAATTCCTTTTCATAACTTCTAATTCATTACTAAAGTATGAATGTCTTCTTTAATTCAATTATTTGCATGTTAAGTTCACTGAATGTTTTGTTAGGTAGAACCTTTATTAGCTCACTTGCATCCTCTGAGCTCACTGAATGTCTCATGCATTGGCTTATTTGTTTCTCCTTTGATCTCTTCAAATATTTAAGCCCTTGGATTTTTAATTTTGAGCTTGACACCTCAGTACCCAGGCTCTAGAGAGATTCGGGGAAATGAGGAGGCTTCTTGTTGCCTTCTCTGCTCGTGTTTGTATTGTCTTTGTCCTGAGGGTTGAACACAGTTAGGGGAGAGACCAGAGTCTCTTCAGGGCCTGTCTCTGACATGCTTTGGCTTCAGTGACGCTTTGACACCTGTCCAACGTGACACGTTAGGGTCGGCCCTGGTCACTGCACGTCAAGAAAAGAGCAACTACTGGTTGTATCAGTATTTACAGTATCAATTACATATTAACTGTGCCATTTAATACTTGTTTTTAAAATTTTACACTCTTTTCAATAACCCGGTGGGCAGAAGAGTACCAGTGATAAGCAGGTTGGGATTGAAGGATAAGGAAGGGAAAAATAGAAGAAAACAGTTCATAAATAAGAAAACAAGAGAGACAAAAATAAAACCGGATCTGGTGGTATAAGTTGTATATCTGGAACAGAGAGAAGTGGAGAGGGGGTTGAGAATTTATTTCCGGGAGTGGGGAAAAGAAAGA